TTGCAAAATACGATTTCTCATGGGAGATATTGCGCATGCGCGCGCACCGTGTTAGGCGTGCAGTGCCGTTTGAGGCAAACTTCATAATATAGCTTGCTGCGGGGGAGAGGGGATGGGAGACTAAGGAAAGGCTGCAGGAAAGATAGCTGGAGGCGGTAGAAGAAGGAGGCTGAGCGAGAGACAGGGGAGGCAACGGGAATGACGCGAGGGCATAAAGTAGGTGTTTTGTACCCTACATGCTAGAGCGCTCTCCTAATTATAAACTCATGTCAACTGATAAAAGTTATCAGGCAAATCTATGCTGAGATCCCTCCTAACCAATTTAAATGCATATTTAGCACAAAATATAACTCCTCTGGTGAGATATTGCGCATGCGCTAACACACTAACGTAGCCAGATTGTGTACTGGCTGGTATATGCACCGGGGACCTTACATGCAAGGTCTTCCTCCTATTTCTTAAATTATGTCTACATATGAAATGTTATCATATAAATCTATGCTAGGATAACTCTTCTTTATTTTAAATGCATAATCTTTGCAAAATACAATTTCTCTCGGGAGATATTGCGCATGCGCGCGCACCGTGTTAAGCGCGAATTGCCGTCTGAGTGAAACTTCATAATATAGCTTGCTGTGGGAGAGAAGGGATGGGAGACTAAGGAAAGGCGGCAGGGAAGATAGCTGGGGCGGTAGAATAATGAGGCTGAGCGAGGGACAGGGAAGGCAAGGGGATGAACGCGATGCAATAATGCTGAATAGCCGAGCTCGTACGGCATGGGTGATACGTGTAAAAGGTCGTTGGTTCGAATCCTATCTGTTTAGTTTTTATGTTTTTATTTTTTCATTTTTCTGTTTATGGTTAGGATTAGGGTTATGGTTAGGGTTAGGGTTAGGGTTCACAATGCGTATACATGTGTACACATGTGTATTATGGACCCGAGCGATCCCGAAGTTGCACCCTACTACCGTTCGGCTATTTCCGGAAAAATGTGTATTTCTCCCCAGTACCCGATTCGGTTTTTAGAGCACAATACAATGTATATTTTTTGTTTGTTCACTCCAATATCAAAATTACAAAACAGATCGGTATCTAGATTATATTAAAATAATTGCTTTATTAGATATATGTACACATATTTGTATTTACGAACATGATTTTCTTGTTAGATTCAGAACTTATCTTACTACATCCAACAACAACATCCAAACAAATGATTGATTGGTATAAAATTATACTAAAATAATCAAAGCTACCAGTTTCTTATATTCGAGTCAAAGACTAATCGAGTAGAGTCAAATTAATCTTAGGTTTCTGTAGAAATCTTACAAAAATTGACAAATAATATTGCACGGCAATAATTATGGAGGTGACTATTGGCCCGACGGTCGGGTGTATAATAAACCGTTCTCTATAGACCCGACGGTCCATAGTTCCATTGTTATCATGTTATTGTTCATTGTGTAGGCTCAGCGGTTATTAGCGATAATCTATTGAATATTGTTGAAAGGGTTAGGGTTAGGGTTAGGGTTAGGGAGTAGGGCGTAGGCTGCGGTGGTTTCTGGGATAGCCTTAGAGATTTTACGCATTTGCCGACGGTCAGGCGAATAGACAGTAGCAACATACACACCCGACGGTCGGGCGAATATAGCCTCGGCCAATAATTATGTTCTTATCGACTACGTCTTATTGACATGTATCATGATTAACATGCGCCTCAGTTGGTAGTGCAACCACCTGGTCATCTCTGAGACTGTGGATTAGATTGGCAAGTGGTTCATAGCGCCGCATGGTGGAGAGACTGCCAAGGAGGATCAGCTTGTGCTTGGCTCGTGTGATTGCAACGTTCAGGCGCCTCGTATCTCTCAATATGCTGCTCACCTGTAGACATGCACATGTACAATATACATATATATACATTCATATTAATGATATTATGCATTCATTTTTCCCATTATTATCATAATTATTTAATTACCATTATTACAATTACCATTGACTATGACAATCTGAATCACTATCACTATCATTGTCATTGTAATTGAAATTCCAATGGTCATTGACATTTTCATGGTTACTGTTATTGTCATTACAATTATCGTTATTCCCCAACCATTTTCATGCACGTGTGTATGCCTCCTAAAAGAAGAATTTCTAACAGTTATCCTAAAGAATTTTCAGCTTACCGATCCTTCAGTCGCATCGGTCCTGACAAATGACACGATGACGACACTCTTATCTCGTCCCTGGTACTGATCTACAGTGTTCACTTCCACCAATGTGTCGTCTCGCAGCGATAACATGGATTTAATTAGTGTGACTTGGTTTCTGTATGGTGCTATTATCCCGATGTCGCATGGTTTCACACCAGCCTAGAAAGTAGAGGTGTTTCTTTCTTAGATATATACAGTAATGAAGGCATTTTATTTTCTCGCATGAAAAGAATGTATATTCACAGTGTGAACAACTATAATACATTGTACGACATATACAGATGTATAAGTTGTACTATTATGGTCTTCAATACCTTGATTAATGTTGCAGATATGATGGTGGCAAGTTTTCCCTCTGTTTCGTTTTTCACCATCTTCTTTGAGTCGTATGACTGAAGAGCAGGGACCTGTAACATTATAGATTTCTCCAGCATAAATGTAAATGACATTCAAAACGACAACTAAAAAATCTCACACATAATGTTAAAGGGATATTTTGAACAAATGCAGCAAAGTGACTGGAACAACATCTTACAAAAGGAAGCAATTAGTGCGGTGGTGTACAGTTTGAAGACCTACTATTCTGTGCTTGGCATCGTCACGTTTAGCAGTGGACTATCCGTAATTAGTCCTACCTGATCGGTGTCTAGAAACTGAGCAGATTTCTCTAGGTGGCAGTCTAGAATCTCGGCGAGCCATGGCACGTTGGTTGTCAACTTGGGCACTGACAGTGTCAAGCACGCAGATGCCACTGCGTTTGAACTGCAGCTTAGAGCACCCTTGTACGTGATCGCATTGGCGATCCGAGTGATCTCAGAATTCATGCGGTACTGCAGGCTAAGTTCAACGGTGCAGCTTGGCTTGTCCAAGCGCACAAACAGACTCTCGTCCATTCCCATAGACCTGCTCGAAAAACAAACGACAACCGAATAATGTAAAAATGACATATATAGGGAAAACTAACTATACTGACATCTCACAAGGACATCATTTAGTCAGTGTGTTGGGTTACCCTTGCCCACTGTATAAAATTAATGTTCAGATTGTTTCTCAATTTTGTTGACAATTTCAAGTGAATTCAAGTCACTTTTAATATATTTTCTTAATAAAATATTGCTGCAGTCATAAAGCAGTGCATTTTAATGGCCAAATAAAGTCGACCTGATGAAGGTTGTAATACATTTTTTTAAATGTATATGAAAACCAACAAAATAAGAAACAATATCAATATATTACAATTCCAGCTATTAGCGATGGCATATACATACATTATCAACTGAAAACGCCATGTACTATTAAATTTACATTTCTTAGCACAAATTAAATATAATGTAATGGGTACCTGATCAAGCCTTGTTGGCTACAGACGTACAGGCAAATCAATCATTTCTATTAAGCCAATGACTCATGGTTCTACAAATATTGGCAGCAATGTTGGCAACCACTCATTAATAATGTTGCTAACAACTTGTTGAACAATGTTGGCAACAACTTGTTGAGCAGTGTGGAACAATGTTGACAAAATCTGCTGCACTATTCTACTTCAGTGTTGCTTGGCTCGTACTTAGCCTCCTTGCTCCGGATGACAGGAGGGAGTTGCCGTGGATCACCTACGAGCACGAATCGGTCAGCGCAGAACAGTGGTCCTAGGCACGCCGGCTGCATCACCTGTGTTGCCTCGTCAACGATGCAGTAGTCGAAGCGGCGTCGTGTGAATAACACGTGCCCAACGCCCAGACACGTCGTTGCAACAACCATCTGCTTGTGGTGCGTGTGCGTGCATTTGTTTGCACAAGAGAAAGTAAAATACCTACTCAGTGATATTATTATAACAGTGAACCATCTAAAAAGCATATGCATTTATTTATCGACTACAGCTACATTATCAGCTTAGTGGGGCAACAGAAATGAAACCTTAATGACAAGCTTGTTGCAAGGCCACACTTATTGAAATTATCACAGAAGCAAAATGGACACAACACCAGGAGCATGACCCTAGCATTGAACAATTAATCTAGGGGGGGGGGGGTAGCTAAATAATTAAAGCATTTTGCATTCTGATAGCTTCCAACCATATTAACTGTACCATTACAAAGAGTAAGGAATTTATAGACATCTGTGGAGAGCACAGCAAGGTCCGAAATGGTCGACAAGACTTCACAGTATAATATGAGTAGCAGTAGGTACAAACCTACCTTAGATGCGTAGAAGTCAGTGAGTTGCTGCACAGAGAGCCCACATGTGAGTACTTCCGCACTATGAGGCAAGATGTCTGCATGAATTCTGCTGCGTCTGCCAAGGCGTAGGAAATCCACACCCTTCTACAATGCAGACGACACGATTATAGGTGGTCAACTCTCCAAAGTTTGCACAATCAATTCCCGATAGACATTGTAAGTGCATGAACGTACACATGGTAGTAGTATACATAGTACAAGCTACAAAACCATTATTTAGCAGACATCAGGCACGCCAGCCTTCACATTTACATACTAGCATATATATATACAATATACACATAGAGAATTAAATATTTTGTACATAAATTATATAATATATCACTGTAATATACTCGATTAAGTGGATTTTTCGTTTAATGACAATGAAAAAATATATTCAATAAATGCTGTGTGATACTCAGTATGGTGTCATTAACGGAAAAGATCAATCAGATTTTAATTACAAAATACTAACGATGCCTGCCACCACTATTGCGGTTTACCATTGCCTATCTTACGTTAAACAACACCAATGCACTGACAATGCTTGTGCGCAACCTGCGAACCACTACCTAGTAAGAAGCAAGCACCATGTTACAATGACCGTGATGATGAGAATAATCATTTCACAAACACTTCTTTTAGCGAACAAACCTCGGAAACATATATATATGTTTGACTGTTAAACGAAGTGCAATAGCACAGAAAACTATGTTTACACATACCTGCTTCAGCTTCAGCAGGAGATTGTCGACAGCCGAGTGCGTGTAACTAGTGACCAGCACACTGTTACCTAGCAGCACTAAAGCCTCGATGAGTGCCACGATGGTGCTGGTCTTACCAGCACCCGGAAAGCCTTTAATGAGCAGATACTCGTCTGCCATCAGCACCTATCGCAACGTAGTTACGCAACTTCATGGTAATGGATTAATAATTTAATTTAATAGTGGACAACGCCTAAGCGCAGGAAATGCGCCACGGATCACTCTACTTCCAACAACTAATCTATACGAGAACGAATAAGTGAACAACAGAGAAGATGTGAGTGGAAAGAGGTGGTGGTGGCAGTTTGATACCTTGAAGACGGCTCGCTGCTGAAGCTTGTTGAGGGGTTTGAGCACGTGCTTGCATCGCTTCACCACGTCCTTGCCCAAGGTGCTGCGCTCACGAGGGCTGCGCAGGTCGGCTACGACCTCCCGCAGGCGAGTGCTGCGTGGAAACAGTGAGATCACAGATGTTCACGTTATCTCAAACGTTGTGCTGTAACGTTCATTCATCGAAGAACAAGTACGTGTACGAGCAGTCGAACTGATGTGATAGCCAGGATTTCACACATATAATAATGTACATTATACATGTGGTAATGCTCATATATTGTTGCAGTGAATTAAGTGCAATAGGAAGTGAGGAATAACAGATGTTGGCACTTGCTAATGCCTGTTATGTACCTGTGCGGTGTGTCGAGCATGAGACGAGAGAGGTTCGTAAAGCTGCTGATCATGGTGCTGAATGAATCACAAAGGTCAACTCTGTAAACATGGCCTCTCCACTCCCTATCCAACCGAAGGTCTCTACAATTGAATAACGAATGCACGCTATGTGTATTACAGCACATACCATCAGTATACCTTTTCACCACCCATATCCGACCTCAAAATGAATAAACCGTTTACGTATGAGGTGGGAGAGACATTCTAGATAAGATTATAGTAAAACGGTGAAAAGAAGTACATAAGGGAGACATCTGTATTATGTAATCTTGGTAGGATATGCTATTTGTGGGCGTATGAATAACTGAACAGAATTAGCAAACCAGACAGAAAAAGAATGATGAATATTTTACCCGAGTTTTATAATTTTAGAGAATACAGACTGTGCAAGCTAACATCATATTCATGTTAACATTACAGTTCATTACAGTTAATGTTATAATTTTAATGTAATAGATGTTCATAATGAGAATGAGTGAATTGCATGCCTGTCTAACACCAGCTGCAGAGAACTGTGACAAACTTCTCTGATGATGCCACTGCTGATGGCGACCTCTTGTGGGAGATCTAAGCTCACAACCACACTGTCACCTGCATGTAGACCACTCATCGTGAGCTGGTGTCTGCGAACCACACAACACAGGAGTGAAATAAAACATTTTCTGCTACAAAAATCCACCCTCCAACATCTATACCAGTACATGACTCGTCGTTGAATGAATTAGGACCAAACTTAAAAATATATAATTTAAATATATATTTACACTGGTGCTTGCTAACACACACTCACACATACATCCAAAAAATCACCTCAGGGGAAATGCCATGAATGCGTGAATATAGATTTTATTGTTAATCTAGCAGGGTACACGATGTATACAGGCAGGAGAAAGTCACTCACTGTGTGCAGTTTTTATGCCTTTTGAATGTATGCGCAAACTGCCGACTTCCTAGCTCAGAATCCTGATCATAGTTCCCATCAAGCAGCACTAAGCCTGCAAATGCTTGGCCTTTTTGTTCCCTGAAATGACATTAGATAGCGTGCATTACAAAGACTCGATCCTTGATATCATCATATTTATCATTAAAATCTCACTGAACATCAACAGCTGTGGTCCACTGAAATGACACAATGACGAAACTACTGTTGATATTATCTATCGCTTTTTCACTGTTGTTCTGTCGGTTTTATAATGTTTTGATATTATTTATATATATTGGGCATCTGAACATATTTTACTGTAACATGGACAAGAAAATTCTATATTATTATTATTTGTTATTACCTCTCCCAGCCTGTCATGCACCAGATATCCACCAGGTTGCGCCGCTGAGCCTCTGTCTCCATCTCAAGTAGAAGCATCGTCACCCAGTGGCTGTAGTAATCCATGTGGCATTGGCTTAGGTGAGAGAGGGTATCTCGGAGGAGAGATTCCATCGCATGTCCTGCTGGTGGAGTCGATATCTCAATAGATCTGGATGCAACAGTGGTGATTAAAAATACATATTGTAAAGGAAAACTAGAACATGAAGTTGTAACTACACTCCAATAGAAGTGAAAGAACATTAGATTGAAATTGTTTCATGGGGTGAATTTAACAGTACTGAATATATGCATGTGTGTACTGAGAAAAGCCGTTATATCTCTTTGTAATGTCGACTAGACTTCACTGATCTCAATATCAATTAACTACACCGACTAGTGGCAGATAAAAACAACTAAACAACGAATAGGTGAGCTATAATTGTCATCCATGTAAGAGAAATGGTATCCATCTGAATGCCAATCAAACATATTACTCAGGCTTGCAGGCTGACCTTTCTACTACGGATTCTATCAGGATTTGTTTTTATTTACCCCTGATTACGTTTTGATTGCGTTTCGCTCTCACCTTTGATATAGAGTACAGTTGAGAAGTTGTGGGCACCTACTGCAGGACCTCACGTTGTCTATAGGTGGTGGTAGAGACATAGGACGCGGAGCTCTGTCATCACATCTCGAAACAAATCTCGACAAATGAGCTGCCAACTCGTTCCTGAGTTGGACTAAGCCTTAGAATAAAGAGGAAATACAACAATGTAACACATCAGCATGAATCAGTCAAGTGAATGGCTATAACAATTAAGATACATGTTCTTATATGTTAATCAACACACTGGTAACAAACCTCGTACACTTGCAGGATGGGCGGGAACGCTAACCATCGCACCCTCTTTTAGATATAGAAGTAAACCTTCCTCTGGGTTGTCACGGCGATCTGACATCATCATGCTGTACAGTGTCACCTGTCAACATTGAAATGGTGACAGGACAAAACAAAAAAAGAAAAGATTGTCCCATCTGGTGGCAGAAAATTGATAAATTGATGACATTATTATGAGGGAGAGAATGGTGCATGGGAGGGTGTGTGGGGGAGGGCTGTGCAAGCCCTCCTTTCTCCCTCATTCAGTTCGGTGATTTTGTTAAATTTGCGTGTGAAGCAGTATCACCATCACACCCTTGACTAACAGTCTGCAATATAAATAAGATATATAAGACATGTGAATTGTCTTCTTAGCTGACCTGGCCTTTGTGCTCTGCAGAGAAGGAAGCTTTTCCTGTCTTCAGTTCTAGAGGAACAACTTTCTTATAGGGTCTGCTGGATTTGCTTCTAGCATGTATCTTGACCTCCACCGTGAGATCTATCTTTCCTTTCACACCATATCTGTGAGAAGAATTTTGTACAGGATGTAATAAATCCTGAGTAAAAACTGGGATGTTCTTATCGCATGCAGTTCTTTTAAATACCAGCTGAGACTTTTCATCGTTAATCTGTTCCATAGGACAATAAAACAACCACCAGCTCTAAGGTAAAAAATCTACACACGCCAAAAATTTGTTCATTAGTAACAAGGTGTTATATGCAAGAAATTACAGGCATTTGTAATTTTGAAACTTTTGTTAATTAAAATGGTTACAAGGTGTTTTGCTAAATCGCTACTCCAATTGAAATTAAGATTGATATTGATGCCATTTATGTAGAATATATGCCATAAAATCTTCTGTAACATTTATAATGAAATTTATTTATGCCCATGACTGCTTGCTAAAACATAATGAAATGTTTCATGCCTTACTTTGGTGACCAGATGTTTTCTTCAATATCTTTCACTGCACATACTTTGATGTCATCACCGTTTTTCTTGTGTCGCTCATCTTGCTGTGCACTACTTCCAAAGATTCCACTCATATGGTTTGCTGCCCAGTTCTGTACCTGCAAACATCATGATAATAATATAAAATAATCACAATAGGTTATTAACTTTTAAGACACTGCTTATTAATAGCATAGATGTCACCTCCCCTATACTGAATTGGAGGTGCATCATGCAAAACGTGCTATCAGTGCATTGAGCAATATAGGCCTATAATTCGAGAATTTTCAAATGTACATTACAGATTACACAGTTTACAATGGTGCACATGCAACTTACATTTACATAGTTTACACAATAATATAACTAGTATAAGTTTACAAAAATGCTACAATATAGATTTATCAATAGATCTATCAATATCTATAATGTGAGTGAGCATGAAACTTTTGTTATAAATACATTATGTAGAGCACAACATGCACAGGGATGACTCCACAAAATGCGGATAATTAAATACAATGCTAGTGTTAAAACTAACCGTAGGCTCACCTGTGAAATGTATTTGTCGATTTCAGACATAACCTCTCGCTCGTCAACATTTAACCCATACATATCATGCAGGAACTGCTCTTCCCCTATCACCTTCTCTGCTATCTTGCCTAAGTCACTTCTAAAAAAAAAATCTAGATCATAAGACCAACAAAATAAGCAGCCCATAAAATGAAAAGAAGCAGGACTACATGCAATACACTGAAATAACACATGGACACTATTACACACAGTCACACGCACACATGTACGCACGCACGCACACACACACACAGAATTGTAACAGGTTGACAGGAGTGCTAAAACAATTAAAAAATCGATGAAGATGCAGCAAAGACATGCACACCTGTCAAACATCCTCTTTAAGACAGCTTCTTGAAAAAACGCATGAATGACTGATCCATGTAGCATGTAAATGTTGCCTGCATCCAGATCCCGGAACCTCTGCCCAAGCACACACCTGATATCATACAACCACCAGCAACTTAATTAGAATCATTAGCACTTCACATACAAAGTTACCAACAGGAATGACCAAATAACAAGTTAGAAATCCTATAAGCACTAGTTATTAACCAGAGGCAACAGCATTTTCAATTTCCTGTGACACAGTTCGATTGTGAAAGTTCAGATATATATATATCAAGCTCACAATGCATCTGTGACATGTACAGGAGGTTCACAATAAAGGTAGTGAGTGAAATGACACCTGTAATACTTTCAGCCTCAATAGAAGGTATAAGACATGAGTACGTTTGTCAGCAAAGTCTGCCTACTTCACAGCTCAATCTGAATTCAATAGAGAGAAACAGCAATACCTCCTACAAGTCATTTTCCCCCAATGAAAACATAGAACCAAACTAAAATGAAAGCAAAGACTAAAAACCCACCTTCGTCTGCAGTAGACGGCTGACACGACTGTTGTACCAGAGAGCAGAGTGTCAGGGTTGACAACGATGAGTCCGTCAGTATTATTGACCACGTAGAACCCGGAGCCATCTCTCTTCGCTAGCACATGTACCACATCTCCCAGCGAGACTGGTGTCTGCTGCCAGACACCCTGCATAGTAACCACATGGTTAAACACCCGTGCAGTTCCCCAGCACCTCAACTTATAACTCGGATTATAGACTACACTTTAATTTCACATCAACAATAACATCATTGACTTGCCACAGAACAACATCAATGGACAGATATCAACTGGGAGCCTACACTCCGGGGTAAAACTATCTTAAGAATGTGCTTTCCTGGACTTCTGGACCAGAGACCAATAACATCAACAATTCGATTCCAATATTTATGCTACACTCTGGGGTAAAATTACCTGAAGAATGCACTTCTCTGGTCTTTCCAGTTTTCTGTCATCTCGAGTGAGTGTCAGCTCAGTAAAGCCTTGCTCTGGGCACGGCTGAACATCGCTGACTGTGTGTCGGCCATACTTGGCAGCTGGTACAGGCATCCTAGTCGGGTCGTATGTTTCAAAGGTCATCGCTGGCTCATCTGATATCATGACAGCACAGAAAGGAAATTAGTCAGATTTCACTTAATAACACGTCCGTATTCAAACAGCTATAAGAGCTATCAGTAATAATCATGAACATATGCACATAACGGTATAATAGTATAGCATACGTATGTCTGTGGTACAGCCAGGCTTATATAAAAAAGCCACTCAAGGTAAGCACCAAAGTGGGCTTTATATGTAGGTGACCATTCTATAAGGGTGGGTTTATTGTATAACTGTCACTCAAGGGAAATACCAAGTGTCCTTTATAGACAGGTGTTTGTTCTATAGAGGTGTCCGCTAATGCAGGCTTGAGTGTAACAATAAAAGTACTGCACGTACCTGCTCTTGATCCAGCTGTTACCGATTCCTTAAATGGAGACAGACAACTGAAGTTGTCATTCAATGCCTCTTCCATAGCTGCGAAATCATCGATATACTGGCAGTGCCCATCGTTTTCACTCATCTTACTGTCTGCAGGTTGAACCTGAAGCATCTGATTACACACTTGTGTTGGAGGATCTTCTATGTAAAAGTCCTCTGCCTCTGCAGGCACTGCATTAACTTCTTTTGTTGCAACACCTAGTGACTTTGGATGTGTTGATGTAACATTAACCTGATCTCTATCACGTATTTCAGTTACAGTAGCACCTTGAGAGCTGTTGTGCTCATTAGCAATTGCAACTTTCACATCTGGACCACAACCTGGATCTGTACGCAACTGCTCACCTCTTATGTGTTCACCATCTATAGATAGGAAACTACTGTTTTGAGCAGTACAATTTATTACTTCAGGATCACAGCTGACGTTTTCAATGTACATAGACTTGCTAAGCATCCCCTCATTATCTTTCTCAGGGTCCTTCAAATCTTCGTGATCACTGACATTACTGCTATCATGGACATGAACATTTTTGTTTTCGATCGTTGTATTTTTGGGGCTGGCCACTTTATTGTTCATACTGGCACCGTCGCATTCCACGTATTCTAGCGACTTCCGCCCCGACACGTGTTCGGTTTTTGTCGTTGGTGCTAGCTCGCAACTGCCAAACGTAAGCGCGGTTTTGGTGCTTAGCACCCCTTTGCTCAGGTGTATAGGCGAATCGGGCGAGTCGGGGTGTACGTGACGCATTGGGCTTGCGGCAATGCGCTTGGAATTTGGAGACAGTCCCTTTGTGGAGCACCGCTTTGTTGTTTTCCCTTGAGAAATTGATTTTATAGAAATCCCCCGCTCCTGTGCTCGGTTGCTGACCGATGATAGCCGTGTAGAAGCGGTATCCGCTTTGCCAGCTTTCCTGCTTAGGACATGTAACTTTCCACTGGTTTCTTTCTGCCTTGTTCTGCCATCCTCGACTGATTGGGAAACTTTAGCCGGAGGTTCTAGAGTAGGGAGTAACTTTGGCTGTAGCTTAGAGCGTAGAGTAACACTTGGCTTCGGGCAGATGTATCTGCTGGCAGTGGGGCGCATCATCTGTTGTGGCGTGTCTGGAATCAGGAAGTCCTCAGACGGATCCGTAAATCTGTTAACTGGGAGATTCGTGTCACATTGCGTATCACGAACGCAAGTTTTTGAAATTTTGGCGTTACATGCGTTTTGCAATTTGTGCGGCTGGGCTCCGTGATTTTCCTTCTGCTCAGATGAGGATTCATTGAATGCTGAACTCTTTGTTTCAGCCAATAGGTCTCCCTTTTCGCTGTGAGATTTGACAGGAGTGTTAGGGTCCACTCTTGCTCTCAACCTTGAATTTTCCCCAGTGTCAGTGACTGTGCATAAGGAAGACCTCTTTGTCACGTTCAACTGACTTGTGATTTTGCTGGAATGACTGAAGTCATTATTGTCATCATCTTCCAGAACGATCACACCACTTCCATGGTCGACAGATGACTTTCTCCCAGAGGTTGTCCTCCTTGATTTTAAATCAGAGTTTGGAGACATAGGCCCACCTTTTGCAGATTCTGATACTGGTTCGATACACGTGAACAAAGTCTTCTTATTTTTGGCATCACACTAAAACGAGAAAAAATAAATCTGCTAAAAATCAATAATCCAGTATCAAGTGGGCCTCCTCACAGTAATGCTGCTGTGATAATATCCCTAATAAATATTATAAAGCTTTATACTATGTTTAATGGTATGGATATAGGGGAGTATATAATTTTTGTGTGAATAAGGAAACAAACACAATTATACATATTGTTGTTCTTCTACTATAAAATATTAGCACAGGTGAATACCTGGAAAAATGAGGAGATCTTCATCTGATTCTTGTCTCCCTTCTTTGGCTGATAAAAAATAAAAATGGTCAATTAAGAGTGTAATCAATGTAACAATCATTTCTTACTTGATACCATTATCCCCCACAACAAATGCAAAACCCCCCTGGACTCCCTACAGAGTAATATCACACTTCAATCTAGAGCAATGAGATCAAAATATGTTGCCTAGAACATCTGTCAACTCGAGAAGACGTATTATAGACAATGTGTTAAATTAATTATCGTATTTTCTCAAGTCAAGTCAAGTCAACAGTGGTTGAGTCACAAGTCAAGTCAAGTCAACAGTGGTTGAGTCACAAGTCAAGTCAAGTCATTTATTAATTTGCCCAAGTCAAGTCAAGTCAAGTCAGACACATTGTCAAGTCAAGTAAAAAAATTTCCTCAAGTCAACTCGAGTCAGTTGCTAACTTCAACAAGTCATCTCGAGTCACTTACTCAAAGTGGCAGGTGACCCATTTTACCAAAAGCCATTTTATGAAATGTCAGATCCCCACTCTTGCATGTAGTTTGTTTAGTTCACTTTAGATAATTTTCTTAACTACTTAGTACTAACCGCATTCTTGTTTTGTTTTGACTGTTCTTGTTCTATTTCAATTGTTGGCCAAATGTCTTGCCCGACCACCTGATGAACTCAAATTTGAGTTTTGACATGCATACAAAAATAAATATTCCAAATCTTTGTTAGCAGTACTCTCTCTATATGCGCCGCCGAATGATTTTTGAAGTGAGGTGCTCAATTTGTTACGCTCCACAGTGGCCGATGCAGGATTTCTATGCGGGTGGTGAGAAACAGGCGGGGGGTATGGGTGTCCTCCCCCAGAAAAATTTAAAAATGTAGATCGCAGGAGAAGGTATTTGAGGCACTTTTGAGTACAGGTAAAGGCTTCATTCTGACTACAACAATTCTCTTTTTAGTAAAACAATTCTTGCGCTTGCAGCGCGGCATTGATTGATGTACGGGGGAGAGGGGGTCATTGTTTAGGTCGCGTTCATTATTGAATATGTAGGGGGTGATCACCGCTGGGATGAGGGCAACAGCAAAACTCTTTCTTGGAATTGTAAAAAAAATCACTGACACCATATCGCGCGCGCTCACCATATCGCACGCACATGAAATGCTGGAGCCAGCGCATGCGATGAAAAACAAACATGTACACGTATAGCCCATGTCCTCGTCCATCAAAATGTAAAAGCAAAACATTTCAAAAAACAGATTAAACTTAATAAATAAATTTTAGCAAGTAACAAAATATTGTTTATTCTGTAATAGTATTTGTCATGATTTATAGTTAATTTCTATCATGAACTCTTGATGTAATTAATCTTGCGGTCCGAGTTTCGCTAGTGCTAGCGCTAGCATGCACTAGTTATAACTTAGAAGCACTCGAGTCATCAAATAGCGACTCAAGTCCTGTGCTTTGACTCGAGTCTCTGGCCACGACTCGAGTCAAGTCATAACAATAACGGTTGAGTCAGAGTCAAGTCAAGTCATTTTCAGTGGTGACTCGAGTCAAGTCAAGTCATTTTGGGTTCCCGACTCGAGTCAAGTCAAGTCACCAGAAAATGCGATTCGAGTCGACTCGAGTCCCGAGTCAGTTACTTGACTTGTTATACAACACGTACTGGACGTGATGCGACCATGATGCCGAGGCGCACCGAGGATTGACACTTTGTGTCTTCCAATCACAGCCTACGCCGCACCAGTCTTTTATATTTTTAAAGGTGGGGACCCATGGGACCACCAAATCGCCGATCTCAGGAACTAGGGCATTCTGCTAGGCTAGTAGTAGAACAGTTTCCTACGATAGAGTTTGCCACAAATACGAACATAACACGCTGTTTAACACGCTACGTCCTTCTGTTGCATTTTTCGCATTTCCGTAATCAGAATAAGCCCCGCCTTCTTCGTTGATGGGCATGAATGGGGCGTCAACGACGTGACCCGTTACTGCGTGTAGGTGTTTGGCGAGACTGTTTGCTTTTCGTAAATAAGGTAAGGCCCGGCCGATGCATTTCGCACCGAAGTGGAAAAATTAGGCATTTTTACCCGCTTTCGGAAGTGAACGAGTGCGTCATTCATTGAACATTGAAGTTTTTCTTAAAATTAAATAATTCCGAAAATCCCTAACCGCGCTACTCAATTGTTTTAGCCAATGAACGTAGCTGTGTGTGATGTCTTGCCCGCGCGCTTTATACTTGGCTTAGCGAGCCTCGAAATGGATATCGGAGGCAGGCACCTCGCAACACGCGTGTTTGTTTACATATAGCTTTGTGACATCAGGATGGGCGGTGTCGGGAGTTCTGCGATGATACAGATAACCTCGTAATGTATCAGCATTTCTTAAGGTGCATGGAACATTTTACCAATTTAGTGGTGTCAGTTAGTCACGGATATGTCACAGTAAGTACTAACCGTATATGTTTCACATACGTTCACCTATTTTGCACCCAGGCGGTCGATCATTGTGAAAAATTGTGTGAAGATTTATTCTTATTGAGACGTTCCAAGTGCCTGTTTCATCAGTCTTGTACGTCAATGCACGTGCGTCAAGAGCCATAAACTCAACACAATTTCATCTCTGTTAGTGTTATTGTTTACGCCTGAATGCGTGATTGATCAGGGAGGGGTGCATTTAAGAGGGAGACATTTTCTTTGGGGTTCTGAAAAACACAATTCCACTTGACAATTTCATGGGCCATTTCAATTGGAAGATCTGCATAATGGACCCCCAACAAGCCCTTTGACTGACTAGTCAAGAAATTCAAAGGTCTGTATATTGCTCTTATTTAGCCGCCGATAGTTCTTATTTAGAATTTCATTCATAGTCTTCATTGTTATCTTCTAAAACTACAGACCATCCGCTGACCGCTGTGGAGACGTGCGCCGGGCCTCGAATTTGGCGCACGTCTCCACTGCGGACAGCCTTCAACTGAACAATTGAAGCATCCCGCGGTCGCGTGCGCATATCCCGCGGAACTGCGCACAGGCACTTAGAACGTCTCAATAAAAAAAAAGGTTAATAAACACGAAATGTATTTACTATACCAAGGTCCAGTCTTAATGTTTCTCTACTCTATTTCGCCTATAATCACCTTTAAATGCCGGTCAAATGCTCATCTGCAACACACAAGTACACCGCACGCCGCCCTGTGCACAAACAACATGAATAAGAGCTTATTCATGTTGTTTGTGCACAGCACGGGCGTGCAGTGTACCTGTGTGTTGCAGATGAGCATTTTGACTGGCATTCTACAGAGCTCTTATTCATGTTGCTTGTGCACAGGGCAGGCGTGCGGTGTAACTTGTGTGTTGCAGGATGAGCATTTGACGGCATTTACAGGTGATTATAGGCGAAATAGAGTAGAGAACATTAAGACTGGTAGTAAATACATTTCTTGTTTTATTTCTTTTTTTTTTGAAGAGACGTTCCAAGTGCCTGTGGAACTGCGCGTCTCATCCGCGCGCAGCGCTCAGATCAACAGCTGTTTCCACGCAATCTTGTATCATGTCTCTCCGGATATATGGTACTGGCAGGATGCTTTTCAACTTAGTCTTAGATGATAAAGCCAAAACAAAATAATAGGTGTGGTTACGGGTTTCCCGACCGACCCTATTATTCAGCGGACCCTAAACATTTAATCGTCATTTTCAATTAACAATTAACAATTTTCAATTTCAAATTGTTAATTTGATCATTGAAAAAAAAAAAAAAATGAAAAAAAATTAATTGGACAGTTCCTGCTTCACAAGGCACAACGCACATCCTTCAGACATGGGTTGTAAATAAAATATTTCAAGAAAATAAAATGTTTTCCTTACCTACGTACCTACCCTATTTTTTTTTTTTTGGCATGTATTATGTAACGGTAAACACATATATATTTTGTTTTGGCCTAAGTTAGAGAGCAGACCGAGATTCAGCCTAGGCTAGACACAATAATGTAAGCTAACAGCAGTGTTGTAGGTCTCGAGGCCGGTCTTGGCCGTCGAGACCGGCTCGAGACCGTTTTCTTTGGTCTCGGTCTTGGTCTTGGCCTCGGAGTGCAATGACTCGGACTCGGAGTGCAATGACTCGGACTCGGAGTCGAGTATACATACATAGTACACAACTGTACATATTGTAACACGCAGTTTACAAGAATTTAAAACTAAAACTCTTAGGTTTTCTAGAACACGGCTAATCTTGTAACGTTTTCAATGGCTCAATTAATAAGATTCTTGTCCCTTTGGTTTTGAATTCTTGCTGGCACTTCGTCCCTTTGCGCTTTTTCTACCACTTCTTTTCTTCTCTACCACTTCGAAGGTACTATAGCCAGTCTCTCATTTGGTTCAACAAGCCGTGTCATTCGCGTAAAAACAGAAATGGATCTGTTACTTTGAACACGTTTCGTATGACTCGTGTCTCTGTGTTTTCGGCTGACTATGGCACAAGAGCTTATAATGAGTATCATCATATCATTATAAGCCTCTTTGCTATGGCGATGTTTCATGTTTATAAACATTGACGTCATATGCGCACATGCTCAGTTTAAGCGCGTTGGCAGCAAGCAGATGCGTGATATTGTTCGAACAAGCACACGCATGCACGCGCGCACACATGCACGCACGCACGTGTACGTGCACACACATGGTCGAACGCACGCATGCACGCACGTGTAAGTTCACACGCACGCATGCACGTGTACGTACACACGCACGCCCGCACGCATGCACGCACGTGTACGTGCACACGCACGCACACACTCATGCACGCACGTGTACGTGCACACGCACGTGTTACGTGCACACGCATGCACGCACGTCTACGTGCATATGCACACGCGCGCACACACGCACGCACGCACGTGTACGTGCACACACACGGACGCACGCATGCACGTGTACGTGCACACACACGCACACACTCATGCACGCACGTACGCACGCACACACGCACAGAACATGTGGTCATTCATCTGTAAATGTCAAGCAGCACGCTTCGCTTCTGCCAACCACAACACATGTATAACAAATACACGTGACCTGATCTATGACGTCACGTGAAACATCGCTATACACTTTTGAATGCCTATGATGCACTGTTGCGATTTTTTCCCTTTTTTCCGATTTTTTCCTTTTTTTCCATTTTTACTCTACACTACACAGTTTACAATACAAGTTACAACGAATTTACAGACACGGTTAGTGTTAGTCTGTCACACAGTACAAATTACAATGACAATGTGGTAGGCTACTATATATGGCCTTAGTCCGAGATTCCTCTGACCAATGCCCACACCGACGATTTTGGTGGATTTGGTGTGGCCGTGGGTTACCCCCCACCACATCTGGTGTGGGCTAACAGCTGGTGTGGGCTAACCCACACCAAATCCACCAAAATCGTCGGTGTGGGCATTAGTCAGAGGAATCTCGGACTAGTACTATCGTAACTATGGCCTTAACCCGACCAGGCTGTGTGACTAACGTCAATATTAGGTATTCTAACCCTAGCAATACCGTTTCTTGGAGCTATACTATGGCCTATGCATGGTTAGTTTTGTTTACATCACTCATCAGTCTCAAGATCCTGTGAGTTCCAGAAACAGTTCAGCTTTAATGTGCGCTTTACCGTGGGTTTATTTTTAGTGCGTCCCATTTTCTTGCTAAATCACAAACAAAAATGCACTTCAATGAATTGGAAGATGGAAAGTAAACAGTAAGTAGTAAGTGCTCTGGTAAAACCTAAACACTCAGCTAAACATGAAGTTCCCGCCAGACAGGTGGCGCCATCTATGTTGCACGCGTTGCACGAAAAACGCTCGCTTGTGTTCCACAGCGCGCGCGCGCGCGAGAGAGAGAGAGAGAGAGAGAGAGAGAGAGAGAGAGAGAGAGAGAGAGAGAGAGAAGGGAGGGGTGAGAGGTCTGTTGGTCGCACACACACTAACCCTAACAACAGTGATTGGTTGGTCTGTCAGGGCGCGCGCGCGTGTGAGCATGCGTGCATTTAAATATATGCTAGGATAACTCCTCTTCATTTTAAATGCATAATCTTTGCAAAATACGATTGCTCTCGGGAGATATTGCGCATGCGCGCACCGTCTTAGGCGTGCAGTGCCGTCTGAGGAAAACTTCATAATATAGCTTGCTGCGGGGGAGAGGGGATGGGAGACTGAGGAACGGCGGCAGGGAAGATAGCTGGGGCGGCAGAAGAATAATTAGGCTGAGCGAGGGACAGGGGAGGCAAGGAGATGAACGCGAGGGCATAAAGTAGGTGTTTTGTACCCTACATGCTAGTGCGCTCTCCTAATTATAAACACATGTCTACTGGTAAAAGTTTATTAGGGAAATCTATGCTGAGACCCCCCCAACCATTTTAAATGCCTATTCTGCACAAAATATAACTCTTCTGGTGAGATATTGCGCATGCGCTAGCACACGTGTTAAGCGTGCAGTGCCGTCTGAGGAAAACTTCATAATAAAGCTTGCTGCGGTGGAGAGGGGATGGGAGACTGAGGAACGGCGGCAGGAAAGATATCTGGGGGCGGTAGAAGAAGAAGGAGGCAAGGGAGAGGGGAGTCAAGGGGAAGAGCCCGAAGGCAGAAAGTAGGGTTTTTTTACCCTACATGC